TAATGAAGAAATAAATAATATTTCCAAAATGAACACTGTAATACATGAGAATGTTTGTCTAATTAGATCCATTTTAGACTGCCCATAATTTGCCTGTCCTGACATAATTTGCCTGTTTCTTTGTTCCTTGCCATTGTGTTAAAATGGCACAGAACTTGGGAGTATTTTTGTGAACTGTTTATTGCACTTGTAGCTATTCATGTTACTCAGCACCTTTCTTCTAAAAAGATTTTTTTCTTCCTTCCCAGTCCTGTATTTCTCTGATGTGGAAAATGTTGAGCATTTTCTCTCATGTCACATCAAAGCTCAAATGAGCTTTCACAACTGTGAGATATCAGAAGACCAGGCTAAAGGGAAAAACGTGCTTCCAGATTATTGCTTATTACATAAAATTCGTAATATTTAAAAAGCTTTCTTGTACTTTCTTTTACCTAAAACATTGTAACTTTCTGTTATGGTCTTTTTTGTTTTGTTTCGTTTGAGACAGAATCTTGCTCTGTCACCACGCGCCAGGCTGGAGTGCACTAGCATGATCTTGGCTCCTGCAACCTCCGCCTCCCGGATTCAAGCAATTCTCTTGCCTCGGCCTCCTGAGTAGCTGGGACTACAGGTGTGCACCACCATGCCCAGCTAATTTTTGTATTTTGTAGTAGAGATAGGGTTTCACCATGTTGGCTAGGATGGTCTCGATCTCTTAACCTTGTGATCTGCCCGCCTCGGCCTCCCAAAGTGTTGGGATTACAGGCGTGAGCCACTGCGCCCGGCAACTTTTTGTTACGGTCTTTATTAGAAAAGCATTTGGGGTTAAGTTTAAATCTGTAATAGTGCTTTCTTACATTCAGATACATTGAGCATCTGATTTTAGTACCTTTCTATACAGAAATTAGGTAATGAGAATACATAAATAAAAACAATTCAGAGATGGTTTCCGGACTCGGAGATTAAGATAATTACATTGTAGATGAAAGGAAGACTTCTGAATTCACTTGGAAATATACACACATACTCGAAATATATACCTAAAAAAGATGGGAAGTTTTGCCCTGACCCCCATGGGATAATAAATGATCTGTTTTCTTAAGTATATGTGAAAAACTATCTTCATTAACATACGAATAATTGTCTGCGAAATGGTGACTTAAGTTAGGATTATAGATCTTCTTCAGTAGTTTGCAAGTATCATTCAAGGCCTTATGATTCCTCTAAACTAATTGATACAGCCTTAAATTATGTATCCCTTTCTAATGTTTGTTTTTCTAGTACATGTAAAAATGAGAAAAAGAAAACTTTTATCATCTAATTAGTATGGGTCAGAGAGAGGTACCTTAGATGCCTTAAAGACTACCTTTCAGTTTTGGAAAATGTTAAATAAAGCTGAATTTTACCTGTTGCTTTCTTTACTTTTTCTTAGCTGAGTTTTATTTGTTGCTTTCTTTTGTTTTTCTTTTCCTTCTTCCCTTCCCTCCCCTCTCCCCCTTCTGCTCCCCCGTCCCTTCCTTCTCTTTTCTTTCATTTTCTGAGACAGAGTGTCGCTCTGTCACCCAGGCTGGATCACCCAGGTACGATCTTGGTTCACTGCAACCTTTGCCTCCTGGGTTCAAGCAATTCTTATGCCTCAGCCTCCTGAGTAGCTGGGATTACACACGTGCACCACCATGCCCGGCTAATTTTTTGAATTTTTAGTAGAGAAGGGGGTTACCATGTTGGCCAGGCTGATCTTGAACTCCTGACCTCAGGTGATCTGCCTGCCTAAATGCTGGGATTACAGGTGTGAACCACTGTGCCTGCCTCTGCTGCTTTATTGATAATAATGTTCCATTTACTGAGTGCCCACTATATGCCAAGTGTGATACCATCTTCTTAACTTAAGCCTTGTTTAATAGATGAGGAAATGTGGTTAGGTAAAGGTATCTAAAGTCACACAGCTAAAATGTGATAGAGCTGCAGTTTGAGTCCACGTGTTTCTTGCTGCTAAGCTCAGGTCTTTGGTAATGTCACAGTGCTTGATAATCATGTAATAACAGGGTATTTGTTCATCAGGTGACACAAAGTAGTGCTTTCCCACTTTACTGTCTGGAAAGCAGCACTATTTTCTTCCAAAATAAAAGGCATTTACTGATTTTTCTATTTTGGAAGCTGTAGTCATTAGAACCCAATTTGTCTTTTAAGTTAAATTGTAACAGGCATACTTGCTAATTACAGGATGTTCATCCATATTGATTGACTTTCTTCAAACAGGAACCACAGATTGGAGGAGAAGGAATGAGGGGAGCTGGCCTCTCTTGTGAACAATTGAAACAGCTGCAGCGATTTGATCCATCGGCTGTGCCATTACCAGACACTGATGTAGACTCTCTGAGAGAGACCAGAAGAGAAGACATGTTGCGGCTGGCTAATAAGGACTCTATAGGTTTTTTTATTGCAAAATTTGTAAAATGCAAAAGCACTTAGGAGAGGATGGATCCTCAGAAATGAAAATTCCAAACATCTGCTGTCTGTGTGCGTTTTTTTTTTTTTTTTTTTTTTAACCAAAGTGTTGTCAGGCCAACTGAATGATGACATGGTTGCTAAGGAAACAGAAAAGGCTGCCAGCTGTTTTACCAGGGATCCAGAGACATAGAGGAAGTAGAGGGTGGTATGAGACTATATTTTTTATTTTTAAAAGAATTTTTTTATGTATTTAGTAGAGTTTAAAGAAAAGGAGAAACCTGTAGATGTCTGGAGCATATTTTCATTTGCGATCTAATGTTTTAATTTGTAAAGAATATTACCTGACTTTTTATCTGCTTATTTGGTAAGTCAACCCCTTTGAAATGAAGTCTGGGCCTCTAAACGATAGTGTGCTAAACTATCATAGTCTAAAATGATAGTCTATGTTTAATGTTTTTTATAATTTTAAACAAAGTAAAATGAGTATTTACTTTGTAGATTTAGAAAATGAGATTATTATGCAGTTTGGGTAACTTATGTATTTCAAACATGTAAGTTGTTAGAAACCGCTTGGTGAGAAAGGAGAAGCCAGCTCTGTTCCTGGGAAGTGGCTTGGCCTGACCCTTATAGCTGGGCTTTGTGTTCTCCTGTTGAACATAAACATTTCACTTAATACCAACATCAGACAAGGCAGCTGTACCGATCCAGACAAAAAAGACCGCAATCAACTCTGAACTCAGACAAAAAAAACAGATTATTCTTCGAACTGCAAAAATATCCAAGCATCGCACTGTAGTGGCCAATGTAAGTGACTGCTTTTCAATTTAATTTTACTTTTTAAAGACAAGGTTTGCTCCACCACCCAGGCTGGAGTGCATGATTTCATAGCTCACTGCAACCTCAAACTCCTGGGCTAAAGCAATCTTCCTGCCTCAGCCTACCCTTCCCGGAGGTTGGATAGGTACCTGGGTTGGATAGCTAGGACAATACAGGATGCCTGGCTAGTTTTTTTTTTTAAGAGTTGGGATCTTGCTGTGTTGCTCAAGCTGGTCTTGAACTCCTGACCTGAAGCAGTTCCCCCACCATGGCCTTCCAAAGCACTGGACCCAGCCTGCTTTTTTAAAAAAATTAACTACATCCTTAGGATTTTGCTTTTCTATTGGCTTTTTAGATCAATTCGAATACTCAGTACCCAGCCGTAGTTTTAAGGCTGTCTCACATGGGGTTAAATCCATCATACTGTTAGCTTTCATTCAAATCACCCAAAAGTTATCAGGCCTTGGGCATAGGAAGTGGACAATTGCCTAATAGTTTGATTTTTCTTCTCCCCTCACAGGTTTTCTTTAGGACTTTCTCATAACTTTATTGTATCCATAAGGATTGCAAGGTCTCTTGGATCAGGTAAGACCTTTAGGCCTCTTCTTTAAAGAAGTCTTTCTTAAATACCTTTCCCTGAGGTTGGATAGGTACTGCTCCCCTTCTCTCTGCCCCTATCACCCACATCTAATGTTCTCCTGGCACGTACCACACTCTGATTCAACTTTTCTAGCCATGCCGCTTAAGCCTCACCCCCACACTTGAAAAACATCCTCCAGGCAGAGAACCTGTCCTGCCTTTTCTCTCCATCACAGCTTCAGAGCAGACAGTCAATAGGTACTTATTGTTTGAGAGAAAAATTACTTCAAGCAAGCAAGCATGTGTCTCTTACATCCCTCATTCTGCCTCATATCCTGTAGATGTCATTTCACTAAAGAGAAAGTTTTCCTGTGGGACTTATCTTTTCAGGGCTCAGCTTACCTCCTTAAACTTTAAATGTGTTTTAAGAAACTCTACAAAAATCATTTTCTGTCATGCTTGCTGCAAATCCTTATTTGCTAAGATGGGATGAAAATCGCAGAAAATTAGCCTAGCAACAAACCTGTATTCATGTAGATGTTTGATTAATACCAACAGATATCAAAATACAACCAATGCCAGCAAATAGAAGAAAAATACTTACATAATGAAAACAAGACAAAGAATACTGTTCAGAATTTTTCCTTGAACGTAGCCAATTTTTAGTTGGTTTCTACTTTTCAAAAACTTATGCAAATTGGAAAATCACATAATCTTAAGGGACGTGGAAATACGAGGATAAAATGCAGTAAGAAGGTGAAAAAATCAGGGAAATGTGAGAGAAAATTAATATGCATTTTAACATATTTAGTATTAACATTTCTATGAAACAGAAAAAATACTTAAGTTCAACAGTGAGTACATTTACTTCAAAACCCTGCGTTATGTTTTAGTTGAAAGAAGCAAAGTACACATAGTTAAAAGTACAACGTAGCAGAAATTGATCCAGAACCCATCAGGGACCCAGATTATTCTACTACAGCTCAGATTTTTAACAAGTCTTTTATCCACCTTGAGCTTTTTTTAAAAGTCAGACATCATAGGAAGATTACTCAAAGAACATAAAGTGTTTAGCATTGCCCTTAAGAAAGATGCCCCCGCAGGTGGGAAGTGAATATTTAATATAGTCTCAACTACATCAGTCATTCCTAAGATGGCAATTAATACTACTAATAAACAGTGCAGAAGCCAGCTCTTTATTTGTTTTATATGAATTACTTTAAACCAGGTTTGTTAGACAGTTCAGTGTAGCTGACAGTGAATGTTGCTTTAACAGGAATGCATAGCAGACCATGTTAAAAATGTGGCATTGTCCCAAAATACAACATGACTAAGACATCCTACATTTAGCAGCACCTTTTTGTAACAGTAACTTAAATGAGCAGTGGAGAAAGAGCATAGGAAAGACTGAAATGGGTATGATCAAAACAAAGAAATGAACTATTAAATACATTTCCAGCATTTCCTAGGTTGACTACAAAAATCATGGTTCTATAACTGAGTAGGTTAAGATTAAGCTTTTGTTGTGTGAAGAGATTATAATTTTACTTTCCACAGGTCAGTAAATATCCCAGTGCCCTTGGGATCATTTTTTCATTTACAAATTTACTACACAGTTGACACATATGCCCACTAAACAGTTTTCACGTATAGATGCTGTTATGTCAAATCTTTCAAGCTAGTTTTTTGAGAAATTTCTGATTTGCACTAATACGTTCCACAGTAAAGTGCAAGCTAAGAATCCAGGTACAAAATAAAAAAGATGGCAACTCTCACCATTACTCTTTGAAAGGGATTAGTGATAGCAAGTATCATAAATACCAGCTGTGTTTAAGAATTTATTCCAAAATCATTAACTGGGATGAAATAGCAAGAAAGGATTGAACTAGTAATTGTGAATGTCTTACCATGACAAAAGTTTTATCAAATATTTTATAAAAGCAATTTTAATTAGAATATGGTCTCCTATCAAGTTTATTAAGACTGTTTCTATATTCAATAAATAAATTCATGTAAACAGTATAGAGCTAATTAACAAATTGAGGGAAATTATTTATATGTAAGCTGATAAAACATTATATATGTAACTAATTTTTATTTTCTTTTTCAGATACCAGGTTGTCAGCAGCCTGGAGTGCAGTGGTGCAATCACGGCTCACTGCAGCCTCCACCTCCTGGGCTCAAGGGATCCTCCTGCTTCAGCCTTCGAAGTAGCTGAGTCTACAGGTACACTCTACCACCCCAGCTTAATCATTTTTAATACTGAATTTTCTTGGGGGTAAGGGAAATAAGGAGTTAAATGTAAAACGGTTTTACTTGTAAAAATCTAGGCATATTTGGCAAGAACTTGGAGTAATCAAGGAAGCAAAACAAAGATTATTTTATAACTATTATTTTGTTAAATAGTTGGTTTCTGTTTTGAGGTGGAGTCTCATTCTGTCTCCCAGGCTGGAGTACAGTGGCATGATCTTGGCTCACTGCAGCCTCTGCCTCCTGGGTTCAAGCGATTCTCCTGCCTTAGCCTCCTGTGTAGCTGGGATTATAGGTGTGCACCCTACCACACCCTGCTAATTTATGATATTTTTAGTAGAGATGGGGTTTCATCACGTTGGCCAGGCTGGTCTTGAACTCCTGACCTCAGGTGATCCACTGGTCTCAGCCTCCCACAGTGTGGGATTACAGGTATGGTCCACCACACCTGGCCGATTATTTTGTTACATAAGGTCATGTGCAGATCTGAAGTTAGATAATTTTAGACAGGCATTTTCCAGGGACAAATTTCAAGTGCCAGCTACTTGCACTCCTAATACTGTCTTATCCAGTTATAATTGGACAAAACAGACACTTGAGACACAGAAAAGGTCTTAGCCTTAAATATGATGACATTTTAAGCGTCTTAGAGCAGTGTAATTGAGGCATGGAGATAAGGCCTTCAGGATTCCCTTTCAGAGTAGATGTCTTATGTAGGATAATACTAACATTCTATTCACTTTAAGTCACCCCATTTTTGCCCTGATTACTTCTGAAGAACAGAAACTTTGGTTATAAGAAGCACTTCTGGGTTCTGACAGACGGTGAACCTGCTGAGTTGGTGGTGGGGAGGAGTGAGAGGTAACTGGGAGATAAACAACAGCAATGGTAGGCAAGGTTAGAAAATGAAGTGGGAGAAGTTATAAAAATTTATTTTCCCACGAAATAATTCCACAAGCTGTGTAAACGTTTCTTACTCAAACAAATACTCTAACACACACAGATTATATATTTCCAGTGAAACACTCACAGTAAAATTGCCTGTATTTTTACTCTCTAGGAGCAAAAACAAGGAGGCAGCAGATGAATGCTTTCCTAGTTACCTTTGGCAGCAAGCTTACTCACATTCCCTGACTGCTCAATGGGTTATTAAAGCAACATATATAGCACAATTAAATACAGAGCCAGGTGGACAGAATGCTCGATATCAGTCTCTAGTTTCTCCGCTAGTCTTCAGCATTCCAATTTATCTCAGCCATTCCGTCACTTGTGCACACTCTTACATATGGACACACACACGTGCATATAGCGAGTTCCGGCTCATAGACTCCAGTGCAGTGACTAGAACAGACACTAGCTACTAAGAATGTGTCACAATCAGTGTGAACTGTAGGGAGGACAACCACCTCTGGAGTTTTATGTTTACCATAATTTATGGTGAAAATTACAAACTTTCAAGAATGGTATGACATTCAGAATTCAAACCTTTTCAAGTCACACATATTTACAGTATGTACAGACTTTCTACTAGAATGAGGATAGGTGAGTAGACAATGTTATTACAAATTTCCTGAATGTGGCATTTCTAGTCCCTGTAATTCATAAAGCAAATCTGCTGACTTGGCATTAAGACTCTAAAATAGTGTGATCAAACTGATATATATATATATATATTATATGTAAGAAGGTGTTTGCAGAAATAACATTTACAAACTGTCTATACAGTACACAGTACTAGTACATAGAAAATAGATTCTAACTTTATGATCCCCTTTGTGTAAGGCAAGACTGAATCTGTTCCCAAATTTAGTCAGCCAGAGGTACAAGCAAGAAACAGTGGTCCATGAATGAAAATGCAAATCAGGTGCCTGCATATTAAAAATCTGGATAAACGAGAAATTCCACTTTTTATCTGTGCTGATTCTGGCTTGTTGGATACATCAACTAGATTTCTTTGAACACTAACATCACCTGGGTGGCAACAGATTTTGTTCAAGTGGCAGCTACCCAAAACAGTTTTTGAAGAGTCCAGTATACAACTGGAGAACTGCAGCCATACCAGGCCAATTTATGTAGCACTTACAAAAGAAAAAAAAAATGTGTCTTAATACTCTATTCATGCTATTGCTATTCAAGCAACAGCAATACAAAATATTACAAGACAGATCACATATGATTGCAATGTAGACCCCAAACACTTAAAAAACACACACACACACAAAAGGGCAAAAGTCATTGGCGGATGTAAACATCCCTGTTCCACTCCCCAGCCTCATTCCGTTTTCTGGATATCACTTCTCCATCCTTTTCACAGTAGCGATCCTTGGATTTATGACGGCTGCGCTGTTTGTTGCACTCGTTGTGGTCCTGCTCTCGATCCACGTCCCGGCAACGGTGCCGAGACTCCCTGTGTCTGTGGTCAGTGCTCCCATGGGTCTCATCTCTGTGGTTATGCTCACGGTGTGAGGCATAGTGGTCCACGTGGTCATGGGAATAATCTTCCTTTGGCTCCACGTAGGCTGAGTCTCGACTCTCCTGGGTTTCTGAGTCAAATGTCTCTTGCCTGGAGAGGCCGCGATTTGTCCCACTGCGATGGTTGTGGTGTGGGGCTGAGGAGGAAGAACGGTGCTGGGATTTCTTGACCAGTTCCATGCTAGGTTCTTCTTCAGCTTGGGAAGCAGAACGGATAGGAGCGGAGCGATCAGTCCTTTGATCACCTTGAGAACCCTGGCAGCCAAAGGAGCACACTGGATATTAACCAAGGTCAGTGGGTACAGAACATGTCACAAAGCAGCTACGTTCAGGCAGAGTCCTTTTTAAGCATCTGAAAAGCTGAAATGAAGTCTAACCTAGCCTAATCCCTTTGGTAACATTTAGCATTTATAAGCCTTATACTATATAAAATTGGACTTTGTAAGTGCCTAGAACAGTGCTCACGATAATCTTCTTCTTTTAAAAAGAAGCAGGGAACGTGTTCTTCTTTTATATGTTCTCCTGTGGTTCAAATACAGATATGCAGGTCCCTGATATTTTTCTATACAGGGGCATAAACTACCTCTGCTTGACTGTATGTCAAGAATATTAAAAATGGCAAATGCTTATAAGATACAATATGGAACAGGTACTGCTCTTGACCCTTCGCATATAATAACTCATTAACACAACAGCCTTTTGAGATTAGTAATTCCAGCAGCGTCATGGATGGGTTGCCATTATTATTCCTGAGGCAAGAACACTTAAGAAACTTGCCTGAGGTTATCCACCCCAGAACTGGTAAGAGGTGGAGCCAGGATTTGAATCTAGGTAATCCACTTCCACAGTTTATGCTGCTGTTTAGAAAGTTTCTGTAGTCTGTGTATGTTCCCAGTATATATAGTCTGGTGCGCTCTTCTTACAGGTACACAGCTCATGCTGGACTTGCTTAGAGTTAATACACTGGAACAAGCCCCAAGCAGGCTACTGGGCTTGGATCCTAGCGGTGTCACCATAGACAACCTTGTTTTCTATGAAGACTGTATGAATAGAATACATAAAAACTCCCCTTACCTGTGAATTAGAGGCTAGGGTAGGGCTAAGAGGCAGACTTGAAGTGGCTAATGTACGGCTAAGGAGAGGGTTGGGGAGGCTGCTGCTGGGAGGATGGGTGGCCTTCCAGTAGGCCTCCAGATAGTCGGCAAGGTGCTCACAGGCATCCTCAAGCTGGTTCTCATCCAAGATCACATCGAACAACTCCTGCAGAGGCAGACATTCCAGACCACATTGACACCAACCCAGTTTTCTCCCCCTTCCCACCTCCATAAGAAAACTGAGGGCTCATGAGCTGCACCCCTTTGCACTTGCTCCTACTGTCTCCTTTTTATTTAGTCAGCAAGTGGCTGGCTACCTTAAATCATTGTTTAGGGCACTGAATGAATGCTTAATAATGGCCAGAATGGTAACAGTTGTTAAGGACATTTGTCTATCCTCAATGAAAAAAGACATGGATACTATGATAGAAAAGAGATGTGTATATATTTGAGCAGAATAGGAAGAAGCCTATTCTTGACGTCAAAATCATGAAATCTTTGAGATGGCGTCTCACTTTGTTGCCCAGGCTGGAGTGTAGTGGCCTGATCTCAGCTCAAGCAATTTTTATGTGTCAGCCTCTAGAGTAGCTAGGGTTACAGTGCCTCCCACCATGCCCAGCTAATTTTTGTATTTTTAGTAGAGCTGGGGTTTTGCCATTTTGGCTAAGCTGGTGTCGAACTCCTGGCCTCAAGTGATTTGCCCACCTCAGCCTCCCAGTGCTGGGATTACAGGTATGAGCCACTATGCCCAGCCCAAGATTATGAGATCTGAATTTAGAAATTAATAAGGTAAGATTAGGATGTGAAATTGGGCAGAAGCAGCTGAAACCATTAATAATCTGACATTGTCCAAACTTCAGATTAGTTCACTAGAGAAAAAAAGACGTCACTTTTCAAAAGATGTTTTAAAATTCATCATAAATTTTAACATATTAAGCAATCAAATATTTATAGCCTCTGAAATAGCTGCGCTTACAAAGTGGGGGTGGCCCAGCACAGTGGCTCATGCCTGTAATCCCATAAGCCACTAAGATGGGCAGATCACTTGAGGTCAGGAGTTTGAGACCGGCCTGGGCAACATGGCGAAACCCTGTCTCTGCTAAAAATACAAAACTTAATGGGACGTGGTGGCATGCGCCTGTAGTCCCAGCTACTTGGAGGACCAAGGTGGGAGGATTGCTTGAGCCCGGTAGGCAGAGGTTGCAGCAGTGAGCTGAGAGGCTGCCACTGCACTCCAGCCTAAGCAACAGAGCAAGACCCTACCTCCAAAAGTAAACCTAGGAAAGCTCTATAGCCTCAAGGCATTGTATGTAAAGCATAGGCCGTAAGAAACAATCTAGGTAACTCATTGCTTAGAAATTGATTAAATGTCTCAAATAGTTATTAAGAGCAGATACCTTGCTCCCTATGATCAAAAATGAATAATATACCAACTTTATATAGACTCATCATACAAGCCAAATTTTTGGAACCATGATCTTATGTTAGGTATTAACAAAGTGAAGTTACTACAGGATGTACTGTAGCTTTTTGTAAGCTAGGATCATCATTTGGATTATTTGTGCTCAAAACATATGGTCATGGAATGAGGGAGGAGCGTTTCCTTTGGAATGAATACCACTTTAAGTGATGAGGATTCTTTTCTCTGACAGGTGTTTGACTGACTGTTTATTAAAAATACAATGCCAATCTGGCCAGGCATGGTGGCTCATGCCTGTAACCCTTGGAAGGCCAAGACAGGAGGACGGCTTCAGCCCAGGAGTTCTAGACCAGCCTGGGCAACATAGCAAGACCCCATCTCTACAGGAAAAAAAAAGTTATCCGACCATGGGGGCATGCACCTACAGTTTCAGCTACTTGGAAGACTGAAGCCAAACAGTCACTTGAGCCCAGAAGTTCAGGGCTACAGTGAGCTATGATCTGTACTCCCAACATGGGCAACAGAGCAAGACCCTGCCTCAAAAAAAAAAAGCCAGGTCTGATCTCAGTAACTGGATTACGCTGTATGTAGAGATAACTTACTGGAGGACACTGGATTACGCTGTATATAGGGATAACTTACTGGAGGACACTGAGCCAGTTTATCAGCTGCAACCATCTGGACGTTGAGGTGTTTAGCTTGAGATTTCCCTCGAGATTTTATTAACCTTTGTAAAACCTGTAAAAGATGAGGAGTTTTTAACAGAGTAGTAAGTACACTGAGGTAAACTACAAGGTACATTACTGACTCCTTTCTCTGGGGCCTTTGTATACACACCCAAGGGGCTTGTAATAGATTGAGCTATAAGAGTATCTGCAAAATTAACATAAATCACCTTTGCAAGCTTTAAGCACTCACATTTTTTCTAAGCTAGCAGATCTCAAATGTTTAACCTCTTTAAATTAGCTAAAATGGAAAACTATTAATTTATTTTTTATAAAAATAACTTCATTTTTGACAAATCTAATGGCTGGCTTCATAGAAGACAATTGAAGTCTCCCAAGCGTCTACAGTCAACCTGCTGCAATGTTTTGCTTTGGTTGAAATATGTGAAGAAAGTCCAACGTCCTACAGATTTTTAATTGAGAAAAGGAGAAACAATTTAGTAGCCTTTTCAGATAGTCATCTTTGATACCACACCAAACTCAACAAATGGTAGTTCCTTATTATTCACTGATCATACACACAGTAATGGTTCACTGACTTCAGATCTTCCAAATGTCGACGTATTTCATTACACAGTACTGAAACACTGTATTATCCTTGATCTCATCAGAGAAATAATTACTGGGAAGCTTCCAAGTTCTCAGAGGTACATACAAGTTTTCTGAAATTCTGATTGTTGTCAGAAAGCTTGAGTTTTACAATTGTCAACACGTGCTGTTCTCCTTGAAGTGACAGGTTTGCTTTGTCCAAGAAAAATCGGCTATACCCAAGTCTGAAAAAGCATAGCCTGTCAGTTGTTGTTTGAGATAAAAATTCTATGAAAAACATGGCTAGTTTAGTTCATAACTCAGTCACACCAGTGCTTCTCCTTCTGACATTCATTGGTATGCAACAAGAGCTTTGTGTATACTTTATTACGTTGAATATTAAAAGTCAAGATTCAATAAAAGTAATAAGCTTTTATTGTATGTGAAGAAAGTAATACTTCATCAGGACATTCTTAAGAGAAAATGGCTCTTTCCTCCGTGAACTGTGAAAGCATGGTGGTGATGACTACAGTAACTGCTGGTGCTTTGATGCCACCGTCTTGATTCATGCTCAAACGCCAGCAGTTTTACCCACCACTGCTTTTGCATGAGCCAAGCGTATGTCATAACAGTGAACATGGCAAAGAATGTATTAGTGGTATCATGGAGGTAGTTTTGACTAAATGGACAGTCTAAAAGTGGCTCAAGACCCTCCAGGGATCCATGGACCACACTTTGAGAATGGCCGTTCTAAGCCATGAAACTAATCATGCCTTGTTTATATCAATTTAGAAATTCTTGACTCCCATGTCTCTTCAGATTCTGTATACATGATAAAGGCTATCACAATAGCCTTATTATCACAATAGCCTTATTATAGACAGCAGAACATAAAATACGTTTTAGTGAAGTTCGATTATAGAGCAAACAGTAGCAATCCTACTTACCTTAGGAGAAGAAATCTTTACATATACAATAATAGGGGCCAAGGAGGTTTTACTGAGTTGAGCTGGATGATTAATCGTATCTGCATCAAGGACCACTAATTGCAATGTTCTTGCAAGTTCAAAAATCCTTTCAATTTCACTCTGAACTTCCGCTGTAAAAGGTGAAACAGTTTAAAGTGCAGTATTTTTAAGATAAAGTAAAATGGTATCTTTCTTCAACAGAAAGGTAAGTCAGCCGTTATGTTAATGCTTATAGGGAATAGAATTGATAAAAAATGACAACAGTAATTTATCCTTTTGGAAAGGGCTCTTTTTCCACACATCATTAGGATTTAAGGAATTTTTCTCTCAGCTACAGAATTTACTTTTAGTATAATACTTGGATTATGGAAATTCTTAGCTTTCTCTGCTGACATTCTTTGTGCTTCCACTCCATAAAATTTCATAAAACTGTTGTAAAGTAAGAACCATGAAATATCTTCGTGTGTTCATTGCAGATTACCTTGCCCTAGCAACCATTACAGGTTTTCCTTTCGGTGCATGGGCTGAACCGTGTTTACATGTCACCTGTATGCTGTCTAGCTGTTTATTAACAGGCTGAAATACAACATAAAACAAGACACATGATTGGCACCAGTAAAAACTTATCCAGAAACACACCACATATTTTCCAACCAAAGGAATACCCCTTTAATAGTCATGTTGTAAAAGGGCAGTTTTCAGAGGCAGCACTACAGAAATCTAAAGTATAAACTTTATAGAAACTTATCACCAAACATTTAAAATTCTACTTGAACTCCAAGAAAATTACATTCAGTTCATCTACTGCTCCATGATCTCCAAAGAGTCAAAAACAGGCCTGACAGAATTTTCTGCAATGAGGGAAATATTCTCTATATGTAGTCCAGTGTGGCAGCAGCTAATCACTTGTGGCTACTAAGCTAGTGTGAACAGGCAACTCCATTTTTAAAATTTAATAATTTAAATAGCCAGAAGCTACTATTACTAGGCAGCATGCATGATATATAGTTTGCGGTTCCCACCGCAGTCATGGAGATTGAATTCCATGAGACTTTTATGCCAGCAAATGTGGACTTACAATTACCTTTTTATACCTCTTAGGTAGTTAGGTCCATGCCACAAGCTTCCTGGAGATAATTTTAAGTAGTACATTATTCAAGAAGAGGTGAGTCCCTGATCACTATTGTGATCTCTGCCTCACAATATGTTACGACTTGAGTCCTTTTGTTTACCTGGATATCTGTAAAATCAGGGCCCAAACTACATGACATACTAGCTTTAAAATAATGTTGGGCCACTGAGCCCACTCAAGTTCCAACCTAAATTAATATTTATTGCAAGCATTAAGAAATCAGATCACAAAGATTTTCATCTTTGCTTCACCTGTTAATAAGTGTTTACACAATCACATCATCTCACACTTTCAGTGTAACTCCTTGCATTTAAAGGTTTGAGCACTTACAGTTTAATATGTGGCTTTTTTTTTTTTCTTGAGACAGTCTCGCTCTGTTTCCCGGGCTGGCATGCGGCTGTGCGGTCTTGGCTCCCTGCAACCTCCTCTGCCTCTCTGGTTCAACTGATTCTCTCACCTCAGCCTCCCATGTAGCTGGGATTACAGGCATGGGATTACGAGGCCCAGCTAATTTTTTGTATTTTTAGTAGTAAAAGGGTTCCACTATGCTGGCCAGGCTGGTCTCGAACTCCTGACCTCAAGTGATCTATCCACCTCAGCCTTCCAAAGTGCTGGGATTATAGGCATGAGCCACTGCACCTGGCCGTAATATATGCTCACTGTATAAAATCTGGATAACATTTTAAAAATTACATGCACAGATATTATTTCTATTATATCAATATATTAACATAGCTTTTAATATATAGACATATATAAAGATCTTTCTGGTAGTCTTATATACATATCATGCTCAGAATTTACTCAAAGAAATGTCAAAAACTTCCCTGATGTTCATTTCTGAAACTGAAAGTCAATTTGATTCTTTCTAGTTGTCCTAGCTAATGAAAGAATGCAGCTCAGCATCTTGAAGATGGGGCAAGCTCTCTTCCTCTCGCTACATCCCACTGAATTAAACTGAAAAATGAATAACACCTTTCTATGCTTTATACCTCTAATATCTATAAATAACTCAGGAGCAATCATTGTTTCCTCTAAGATAAAGAACAGAAACTACAACATTAATCATTAGAGAAATGCAAATCAAACCATAATGAGATACCATCTCCTACCAGTTAGAATGGCTATTATTAAAAAATCAAAAAAGAACATGCTGGTGAGGTTGTGGAGAAAGAGGAATGCTTATACACTGTTGATGGGAATGTAAATTAGTTCAACCATTGTGGAAGACAGTGTAGCAATCCCTGAAAGGCATAAAGCCAGGATTACCATTTGACCCAGCATTCCTACTACTGGCTATATACCCACGTGACTATAAATCATTCTATTATAAAGATACCTGCATGTATGTATTTTCATTACAGCACTATTCACAATAGCAAAGGGGTAGAATCAAGATAAAGAAAATGTGGTACATATACACTATGGAATACTGTGCAGTCATAAAAAAGAACAAGATCATATCCTTTGCAGGGACATGGAAAGAGCTGGAGGCCATTATCCATAGCAAACTAACAAAGGAAGAACAGAAGACCAAATACCACATGTTCTCACTTGTAAGTGGGAGCTAAATGATGAGAACACATGGACACACAGAAGGGAACAACACACTGGGGCCTATCAGAGGGTGGGAGAAGGAAGAGAATCAGGAAAAATAACTGATGGGTACTAGTCTTAGTACCTGGGTGATAATGAACTTAAGTTAGAAACGACAAGGAGGTTTCTGTAATCAAACAATACTGTAATCACAGAGAGTAGATGGTTACTTTCATTGCGACTAGTGTTGAGGGACACCTAAGTGGTCAGTTAGCAATTTATAAGACCTGGAGGTAGCTCTAGTATGAGTTATTTAATGCCATACGTGTAATTCCAACACCATTTTCATAATTACCAGACACAAAACTCTTAATTTTGACCAATGTGCCTTATCTTACAAAAAGAATCTGTAAAGCCTTCTCTAACCACCTTTTTCCCCAGGCTCAGTAAATTCTGTTTCTGTGTTCCCAGTGCCATACATCAAAGTGGCTTACGGGCAGAAATGAAGTGTCATCGCATCATTGAGCTGTATGGTCACTGGGTAACATACTGAACCTCTTAGAACCTAAGTATTCTTATCTGTATTACGGAAACGAGGACTAAATGAATCAACACGCAACACTTCCATTACAGTAATTACAGTACTTGGCCTACAGTAAGTACAGACAGTCCATGACTCAAATGGTTTCTCTTAACGATTTTTCAACTTTACAGGTATGAAAGCAATATATATACAGTAGGAACTGAACTTTGAGTGCCATACAACCATTGTTTTTCAGTTAGTATTCAATACATAAGATACTCTACACTTTATTATAAAATGGGCTTCGTGTTAGATAACTTTGCCCAACTGCAGGCTACTGTAAGTGTTCTGAGCATCTTTAAGGTAGGCTAGGCTAAGTTATGTTTGGTAGGTTAGGTGTATTAAATGCATTTCAGCTGATGATATTTTCAACTTAACAATGAGTTTACTGAGACATTACCCCATCATAAGTTGAGAAGCATCTGTACGTAATAAATGTCAAGTATGACTTTGTACCTACCTCTGTTGATACTTATCTCTATCTCTTTCCGTGATGTAATTAAAAATTTTTCCAATAGGCAGTGAAATGACTGAAAGCTTGATATAATATGAAATTATTTCTAGTTCTCCTCAGCACAGCGCTTGATATATAGTTGGCACTCAAAAAATGCCAACTATATATCAATGAATGAGTCAAGAGTTTTTTTTTTTTAAATAAACAATGGCAAAAACTACTGTTATAGAAAAGAGTCATTTAAACATGTCTTCAAAACAAATACATGTTACAACCAAATTTATATAGCAGTGAAGTACTCCCTTTGAATGGAGACACTTCGTTAGTTGGGCCATCATAGAAATTTAGTATAACAAAAATTGTGCTAATTTTTCAAGATCAGCACAGCTACCCTGATAATGGATGGCTCAAAAGAAAGGAGAAAATTACAGTCAAAAGATCAACTAGTTCATAAAATCAACAGTCATTGCAAGGCTAATTATAAAATCTGCTCTCATCAGCCCTTTATTCTCCATAAACTGCTTGCTTGCTTCCTGAGGAAAGGTAGATGTTTAAGTAAATGCAATCAAATTCACTGCAAATGGCATCACTCAGGGAAAAACAATCTTGTACTGAGTCAGAACACCTGGTTTTCAGTATTTCAGACCTTAGCAGGTGCCTTACTACACAGCCTTTCACATGTGGTTTTCGGATTTTTTACCATTTGGTGATTGGCTTGAACTAGAAACTGGCAAATATCTGTATCACTGTATACTTTCTACTAATTTAAGTAATACTTTTATTTTAAGAGCATAATAGTGTTCATTTGCATTCTCCAAGTTTGAAAAGTAGAAATAATGCTACTATAAATATTTTAAATATGATTCTTCACCAATATTACAACTGAGGAAAACGGCAGGACTTTTATGAACCTATATGAAGCCATCCACACGTGCAAAGAAGTTTTGTACCACCCCCAAAATGTGAGTAAAGCTTCAAATTCTCCAGGGTTTTTCCCTCCCATACAATAATACATTAGCATAGTGAACTCCAGAGACAACATTCTACACTTTCTTTACATAACTAATGTTTTCTAAAAACTTTTAATGCATAAAAGCACATTTTTATCTATCACATTATACCTTCAGTGTGCTTCGTCCTTCCTCTTTTGGTGCAATGCACCCCAAATATGTTCCTCCCAAAATCACATGTTGAAATCTAATCTCCATCGTGATAATATTAAGGGGGGGGGGCCTTTGGGAAGTGATTAAGTCATGTGGGCAGAGCCCTTACCAATGGGATTAGTAAGCTTAGAAAAGAAACCCAAAGGAACATGCTTGCCTCTTCCAGCATGTGAGGATGCAGGAACATGGCTCTCTCTCTGAATCAGAAAGCAAGCTGTCATCAGACACCAAATCTGCTGGCTCCTTGATCTTGCACTTCCCAG